GCAGTGTCGGGGCGGCGGCGGGATGAACGGGACGGGCCGGGGGTCGTGCGAACGCGGCGGAGCTCTGCCGGCCGGGGTCCGACCCCTGGTCAGCGCCCTGATGTTCTCCGCCGGGCTCCTGGGCAACCTCCTGGCCCTGGGGTTGTTGTTACGTTGCCGGCGCGGTTCCCGCAACCGTCAGCCTTCGCTCTTCCACGTCCTGGTGCTGGCCCTGGTCGTCACGGATCTGCTGGGCACCTGCTCCGTCAGCCCCTTCGTCCTGGCTTCCTATCACCGCAACCGCACCCTGACCGCCCTGGCCCAAGGAGGACGCATCTGCCTCTACTTCGGCTTCGCCATGAGCTTCTTCGGCCTCGCCACCATGCTCATCCTCTTCGCCATGGCGCTGGAGCGATGCCTGGCCCTGGGGCGGCCTTACTTCTACGAGCGCTTTCTCAGCCCCCGCACGGGCTTGGTCGCCCTGCCCGCCATCTACACCTTCTCCGCCGCCTTCTGCTCCTTGCCGCTGGTGGGCTTCGGGCGGTACGTGCAGTATTGCCCCGGCACCTGGTGCTTCATCCAGATGCACCTGGACTACCTCCGGCACAACGGCGGCAGGGAGGCGTCCGGGTCGGACGTCACCTTCTCGCTTCTTTACGCCACCCTGCTCCTCTTCCTCATCCTCTCCGTGCTGCTCTGCAACCTCAGCGTCATCGCCAACCTGGCCCGCATGCACCGCCGCGGGCAGAAGACCCGCCGGCTGGCCACGCTCGAGCAGCCCCGGGCGGCTGGCAGCTGCGGCCGGCGCATGTTGTCCATGGCCGAGGAGATCGACCATCTCCTCCTCCTCTCCATCATGACCATCACCTTCGTCATCTGCTCCCTGCCGTTCACGGTGAGTGCGACCGCCTCTCCCCTGGGCCGGGGTCCCTCTCCCCAGCACCCCCTTTTCTCTCCCTCCCTTTATAGGGCTCCGCCTCGCTCCACGGCCCAAATCTTACAGGCCGAGGTCAAAGCTTAGCTCCTCCTGAAGCTTGGGAGACCCCAGCTCTGCCACAAACTCTAGCCGATCCGCACATCCTTTGGGGAACTGGGGGGACCACTCCCCATATCCCCAGTGCCGGGAGAAGGACGGGGTGGCAGGAGCAGAGGTGCCCTCCCATCCCACAGAGGCTCCGAGGCCGGGCAGCGTGGCTCAGGCAGGGTCTGGGGTAGGGCTCCCCAGACCACACGGCATCGCTGAGGTTCCCGGTGCTCACAGTGGAGGTGTGAGGGGTGGCAGAGCAATAAATTCGATATCCAAAGGTGGGGATGAAGGAGATGCTGCTGGGCTCAAGGCAGTGGGTGTCTGCACTGGGTGGGCAGAGTTATCCCAGATTTCTGTGGCAAGAGGGAAGGATGGAGCTGGAGACGTGGGCAGGCAGGAGGTCTCCACTCCTCCGCAACAACACCGGGGCGCGGGCACAGAGACGGGTGATTGCTGCGAACGGAGATCCGGCACGTGGGGCGCAGCACGCCTCGTCCCAAGGGTTGTGCCCGCATCCCGTGCCCTGTCCGTGCCCGAGGCTTCCCGCAGAAATACGGGGTCGAAACGCCACAGCCAAGTGAGGAAGGGGAGAGGGCGAGTCCTCTGACTCTGCCCTGGGGCTCTCCCCACCAAAGGTCCGCTTTTCATCCATCCAAGCCGTATCCCAGCAGCAGCATCACGGGCTCCAGAGCACCTCGAGCCACTCGTGTCCCCTGCCACTCATGTGTGCGAGCCCGCCGCCGCAGGAGGTCATTTTGTTCCCATTAGAAGCGAGCCCCACCAAGGTTGGGAGCGAAGCCAGCGCTAATTTTGTGCTTGTGGAGTTAAACAGACGCTACCTTCCCTTCGTGCTCCCTTTCTTTTCCCAAAGGAAAAGAAAATAACCACAGGCTGTAGCCAAGCCAGGCTGCCTGGGTTTTAAGACAGAGAAAAGACAAAGCAGTAATGTCCGGATGCTTGCGAGCATCCCGGGAGCTAGACTCAACATCCTGAGAGACACTTCAGCTCCCGTCAATGGGCCCACACGTGATGGGCAGCTCTCCCCGTGTCCTGAAAAAACCCCAGTTTGGGTGCCGTGGTCATTGCGAAGCAAGACCCCTTGGCGGGGAGATGCGGGCAGGGCCCTGCTGGGGGCAGATGGGGTGGGAAAGAGGCACTGGTGGGGATCCCATGGGCCCTGTGGTAGCAGATATAGTCTTATCCAGAAGCACAGCCAGCTTTTCTTTTCCCATCGCCTGGCTCCCATGTGGGGTGGTGTTCAGGCTGCGTTTTGGCAGCGTCTCAAACCAAGCCAGTGTCTCCTTGGTGTGACACTTTCTCTTCTGGCTGGGGCTGCCCCCAGCAGCAGGAGGAGCAGCCCAGGCACATGGACCCAGAGAGCATCAAGCCACAGTACCACAAAATCCTTCCCCCAAAAAAACTCTGAGCCCCGGGGCAACCCTTGGAAGTGCTGGGCTGTCGGCAGCCGTGGGTACCGGCTGCACCGCGGCCACCTCGTGTCCCAGGTTGTACCGTCCCTGGGTGGTACCCAACGGATCCCGGCCGGAGGAGGGATGCTCAGATCTCCCACACCCTCAGCTCCCATCCCTGGCTGAGCATCCCCTCTCCCCCGAAGTGAGGGGGTGGCGATTCGACCCGTATGAGTAAGGAGTGCTGAGTCACCCTTCCAGGAAGCCCCGTAAGCTGCTATGAGTCGGCACGTCGCAGGAAGGACCGGAGGGGTCCAACACCCCGCATCCTTTCCATCTTGAACGTTTCTTTGTCCTATGTGGTTTTCAAGGTGAGACCCACCGCTTCCTTGAGCAGCCTCCGCCTTAACTGCATTAGGGCTAAACGAAGCCTCGCTGCGTGTTGAGAGCAGAGCACAGGTCTGGCTTTCGTTAGCAAGAAGTTAATTTAAACCGGCGGAGGCGGCAAGTGTGCTGTGACAGCCCAAATCTCCCCAAGAAGCTGCCCGGGGGCCAGATCCTGGAAGCCCGGACGCGGCATTATTTCTCCTGTCGTGTTTTACAGATCCGCGCCTACGTGAACAAGTTCAGCGAGGCGGAGGACAACCACAGCTGGGACCTCCTAGCCCTGAGATTCCTCTCCATTAATTCCATCGTCGACCCTTGGGTCTTCGCCATCCTGAGGCCGCCGGTCCTGCGGTTCATGCGCTCGGTGCTGTGCTGCCAGGTGACCCCCGCGAGCCAGGACAGACGGACTCCGTCCCCCGCAAAGACAAAACTGGCAGCACGGCTGGACCCCGGTGGGCAGTAGATCCATCGGCCATTCCAGGAGACATCTGCCAGGTGAAGCACAGCCCTGACAGATGTTAACGAAGCTCTGCCTTATGGCCCATAAAGAGACGTATCTGCTGCAGGGTGGGCCAGGGTACGGGGTGGCCCAGCCGGGTGTCACCCCGTGTCTGGGAAGCCCCTGGAAAGCCAGTGTGGTCTCTGACGGGGCAAAAAAAATACAGTGGGACAAGATCGGAAGGGCTGATGAGTACCTGGATATCGCTGTCGCCCTTAGACGGGGCTGCTCCCGCCCGGCGAAGGGTGCAGGCTGCGTTCAGCGGAGCAGTCGGGGGGTGAAGCATGGGGGGCTTTGCTGTAACACTACTGCTGGGGGGGGGTGTCGGGGAGCAGAGCCTTCTGCTAGTGTGCTTCCCAGCAAGGTCCCCACGGTTGTTTCGGGCTGAAGGCAGTGTGCGGGCAGGGGTACGGGTCCTGGAGATGAGGCTGGGTGGCCACTGTTGCTGCAAGCACCCGTCTCTGCCCCCAGGTCCTTAGGGATCGGGTAGGAGAAGAAGGGAGCAGTGTATCCCCAAATATTCCCCTTTATTAGGTAGGCTGGCTGCCTGAGGAAATGCACTTTACCAGGTCTGTGTGCATGTCTGTCTGTCTGTCCCCCACTCCAGGGATTTTAGGCTCTGGTGGGTGCCAGCCCACCATGTCTGAGGGACACTGGGCAGAAAAAAAAGCCCAAAATTGTGGCACTTCCCTAGTGCTGTGATGGCAGCAGAGCTGCGTGGCCCCTCCTGAGCACCCATTTTGCAATTTTCTTTGCCCTGTAGTTTGCACAGGAGCTGACAAGGGGACTAAAGAGCCCGACCAGGGAACGAGAGGTTTCGGTCACAGCCATGCGCTTTACCCACATGCAGGGTGATGCTGCTGATGGGTTTTGGGTTGGCACGGAGGAGGGCTCATCCTCCCGGGCTGCCTGGCAAAGTGGTCTCAACTGCCCTCCCACCGGCTTGGGACAAACCTGCTCAGGGACATCATGTCTCTAGAGGTTTAATTAAAAAAAACAACAACAAAAAAAACCCAACGAAACCAAAAAACCCAAGTGCAGAAACATCCAGGTCACCAATCCTGCCCCATCGGGCAGCATCGTTCAGCGACGCTATTTTGTTTTGTGGGATGCCTGTTGCTTTTTGGGGCTCCAGGTTGGTCCCCACCGGGGTAAGGAACATCCAACCCCGTGGGCAAACTGGGTTTGTCCCGAGGCCCTCGCTGCCATTCGGAGTTGCTGGGGGGGGTTTCGTGGCTCCCGTTCGTGCAGCATCCGACACACACAGTGTCGTTGTGCTGTTGCCAGCGGGGCGTCTCGTTGTCCGTTTGAGAGCTGTAGCTCTGCTCAGAAAGCCCAAAGGTGCCGAGATTTGGAGCTTTTCTGCGGTTCGTTAGTTGAGGTGATGTAGAAAAAAAATATATGTTATTTAAATAATAAATGTCTCGCAAAGGAGCCTGCTGAATCACGTGTGGGTTTGTGCTTAAGATGCACCTCAGGGTGGATCTGGCTCCTGGTGGAAACGTGTCACCTGCCTGGAGCATCGGTGGGGTGAAGCCTCGGGGATGGGGGGAGAGGGCAGGAGGGGAGGCTGGGAGGGGAAACATGTGCCTCCAGTTTCCTAAAAAGTGAAAATAAACTGTGTTTTTTAGATGTGTGATGATATTTTGGCCTTACCTCTGCAAACTGGCCCCCGAGCTACAGAAATAGCCCCACCTCTGAGCTCTTCCCTCAAACTTGTATAACCCGAAGCCAGGGAGAGGCAGGCAAAGCTCCTACCTGTTATCAAAATACAAAAAAAAAAGAAAAAAAAATACTCACCCTAAAAAAAGGCAGAATTTATGTCACTTTTGTCAGGCAGCCAATATCCACAGGAAGTTTACTGGCCTCCAAAATGTGTGTGGGCAGATGTTAGGCATGGGCTGCTATTGCTCAAGCCTTGCCGGCGGGTTTCTGGCAGCACCCTGTGGCTGGGGGGATTTGGGGGGGGGGTGGAATTTCAGGGGAGGGTTGCAAGATGTGTCCTGTACATGGGACTGCAGCTGGGGTGCTCCCCCCACTGTCCGTGCAATTAAGTCTTTAACCCTGTTGCTGAGCCCTGGGTGTCCAGATTTGGCAGACTGGCACCCATCGCTCGGAGGTCGCGGTCACCCCCCTCCCCAATTATTTCCCCATCCGTGCATGCAGCAGCAGGAAAGGCACTTTTGGGGTTCAGGGCTTGTGCACCCTGTTGTGTCTTAGAGGGTGCTTGGCTTGAAAAGGAGCCAAAAGCTTTGGGAAGAGCCGTGGGTCCATGCGCTTTATTTGGCTGGATGGTCGTGACCTGGTTGCTCATGCTGGAATTTCGTGACCAGTTGCCTAACCCTCTTCTAAGCCAGAGGGAAAGGCTGCCTGGCATGCAAAAGATGGGAAAAAAAAAAAAGAAAAAAAAGCTATCACGTTGGAAATGGCGGGGGGGGTCACATCCTGCACAGACCAGCCTCCCGAGGCGTGTGACAGTGGTGGGAAGGGGACCCAGGGCCATCCATGGCAGCGCAGGGGACCACCCGAAGGCGGGATGCTCCCCGCGGCTCTCGCTCCAAGGATCTGCTCCCACCGGCTGCCAGCTCAGTTGCTGACCACTAATTGCTGGCTGCTTGTTTTTTTGGGAGGTTTATGGCTCGTCATGGGGAAACGCGAGGCTGGGAGACAACCTCCCAGCCTCCATCCTGCTGGGATCTGCTTTTTGCAGGGCGATGCTACAGTGGAGTCAATCTTGTGCGAGCTGTCCCCAGCAAAGGTCAACAATCCTGGCAAGTGGGGTCAGGGAAATGACTTGGCTGAAATTTAATGCAAAAATAAAAAAGAGAAGTCGGTTGTGAGCCGGGGAGTGGCTTGGTGCATGCAAGGAGAGGAACCCCCCCGAGACCCGAGTCCCTTTGCCGTGACGCATCCTGCAGAGACGGGTCCCTCACCCAGAGATGCTGTGGGACGCTGCTCTGCTTGGGGACCGCTCTTCTCGGGGAGAGAGGGGGTCTCAGCCCCCCCGAGTCGGGTGTGCTGGCTGGGCCCAACCCCTGAGCTGCTGGCCGTGGGTTACCGCTGGCTGCTGCTGCTCCCCCAGCCCAGAAAATGAAAAAAGCGATCAGCCCCTCCTGCTCCTTCTTTCAGATGAGTAAAGGGCCTTAATTAGAGCTCTGCGAGAACAAGGAGGGCCATGAATGTCTCTGTATCCTGAGCCATGAGCCTGCACAAAACACCGCTTTTATTAGCATCACACAGAAGCCATTACAAAAGCCAAATTAATTTGACTCACTTCAGCTCAATTGACATCTGCTCAGCTTAAATGCAAGGTGCCAGAGTGTCATTTCGTTGTCTGTGCTGACCCTTAATGGTTTTTTATTTCCATACCGGAAACCTGCCGGTGCCAGAAAGCACCAGGCAGATATTTACGTCTGCATTTCCATCTGGAAATCAAGCTGCCGAAGAGGAGCAAGGGAGAAGCCACCCGCTGGGGACAAGGGACGGCATCAGCTGCCCACCAGACCTCTTAAAAACGGAGAGAGACTTTCCGCAGCTGCCAGAGGGAGCGGGGAGCTGCTGGACGCAGGGAATTGGGACCCTCTCCAGCTGGCTGGAGCAGCCTGGGGGTGGCTCTGAGTTGCGCCCTGTGGCAGCGGGGAGGCTGGCGTCTGCCTTTCCTTCTGGGCTGTCTCCCTTAAAAAGGAAAACATGAAGGGTCCAGGCAGCGGGGCATGGTTTGGGTGGGAAATGATGGCGATGCAAGGCAGAGTTTTAGGGAAAATGAGCGTTTTTGGAGAGTAGAGAAGAAAGGAGGGGAGCTTCCTTCTCGCTCGCTCTTTTTCTGGCTTGTTTGGAACATCTCTGCATCTGTGTGCTGTCAGCAAGGAGTGAGCCTTCATTTTTCAGCTGTTTTGGCCTCCTGGCTGAGCCCGAGTGCTTCAGCCATTGCTTTACCCACGGGCCACAAAAGCCCCATGTCCCCATTCACGGGGGTCAGCAAACGTGGGCAACATTTGGGGACAGCCTACAAAGGTGGGTGATGTGATATACTGCGTGCGGCGTTGTGTCTGAGCCCGGCATCCCTATGGAGTGCCTCTGGGATGGCTGGTCCGGTCGGTCTTTCAGGAGGCTGGAAGGAAAGCAGAGCCCTGGGAAGAAGGGGAGAGTTGGGTGGGAAGCAGCTGCCCTGCCGAGGCGGCTGCGTTTCCAGGCAGAGGATGGGCAGCGAGCCCGTCTCCCCGGGCTCCAGGAGGGTGCACAGCCACGATAGCTATTAAATCGGATTAAATGAATTAGGCAAGGAAGTGACTTAAGGGAAGATGGCACGGCTGGGCTCCCAAACCAGCTTTGCAGCGGTGCCAGGGCTTACCTTGGCATCGGATGTCGGAGCTGATGGCAATTCCCCCACGGTTCGAGTGCAAGGAAAAGAGAAACATTTGGTTTTACAGTAGCTGCCTTCTGCTTTTGCAGCTGGTTTCAGATCTCTGCATCCCCACGTATTAATGTGAAACCTTTCCAGCTCCCCCAGGTCCCTCAGGTCACCCCACATCTCCCATTTTCCTGGATTTACCAGGTCCCTTTTTGGTCATCGGGGACTAACACCGAGCACTTTCCTCCTACAGCATCCCCAGAGGGGAGAGCTTGCTGTGTAAATCAGGCTGTTATTTTACCTTGCAGCCCAGTAAGCAAGGGTATCGCCCCTTTCCAGGAAGGCTGTTGGGGTATCCCAAACATCAGAGGCTTAAAATCAGAGCCTGCCGCCCAACACCAAGACCCAGAACGAGTAATTCGTGGCCTGTCCCCTGTCATTATGAGGGGTTATGAGACCTTGGAAGCAGCAGGGCTGTGGCAGAATTAACCTCTCTGCAGCCACATTTTCAAGCTTTTTTTTGCAATGTATGAATATAACAATTTTTTTCATTTTGGCTTTTTAGTTCAGCGTTGCAGGGGAGTGAAGGTCTCGGCTGAGTTTTTCCCCAAACTGGCTGAATTGCCACCATTTCGGCTGCTCGGGGGACTTGCTTGTTCCTGGCATGTTCCCGGGTCTCTGTCCCTCCCCGGTACTCGGTCACAGCTTCAGGAGCTGATGCATAAGGGAGGAATGCGGGAGGGACACGCAGCCCTCCTGCTGCCAACAGCTCCTGCGGGCTCCTTTCTCCCCGTAGCCGGAGCTCAGTGTGCCAGGAGGGTGAGCTGGAGGATGCTGGGGACGGCACTTGGCCCTGGGATGGCGAAGGCAGCCATACATCCCCGTTGGCCCCCGAGCCATAAAGCACATGCATGGGAAGGGCAAAAAAGAAGCAGAGCCCCCACTCCGGGTCCTCCCCCTCCGGCTGGGAGAACATGCTGCTGCTGGAAAACCAACCAAGAGGACAACCGACGCGCTGGGAAAAATCCAGCCGGAGCTTAGAGATGATCTACAACTGATTGAAAACACCAGGAGGGAAAGTTTTACAAACCCAACTGGGATGCGGAGCTAAAAATACAACTGCCGCGGCTCGGCGAGGGAGCGAGCCGTCCAAGGCCAGCGCTTGTTTGTTTGCTGCAGCGACATGCGCGCATGGCGGGCCTGGCAATCGCCCCCGGAGAAAGCCCTCTCCCTTAAGAGCATCCAGATGAGGCATGCGATAAGATAGATTCTCACTTGCTGCTTTTTATACAGCTGATGCGTACTGAAGGAGGACCCATTGCCTTTCTCCAAGTGGGAGAAGCCGGCGGCGAGGGCTGGACCGTGCTTCCCCGACGCTTACGGGCTTCGCCGTTGGGGCAAAGGCAGCGCGAGAGGTTCGGAAGGGGCACATTGGGTCCCTACTCAAAAAGCCGAGGTAGGCAACGTGTTTGGGGAGGCTCCTGGAAATTGCAAGGGTTTCCCATGCCG